TTTGGAATCACTAAATTAATTGTGGTTAATTCAGTTAGTATATTGAGGCGAATTAAGTAATAAATATCAAGACCAAGCAAGTAAAGATATATATACAAAAATAAAAATAACTAATGAATAAAAAAAGTTCAAAACTAGCATCTTCGTCATAATACTGTAAGAAATATTTAGCCTATATGGGCGCATTTGAATTGTGTTGGACAATGGGACTCTAATACTCACAGGTGACAAAGTTATATACTACATCACTGTTCCTATCGCAGTAGAAGTTGACACCGAATGAATTTGTTGCTTTGATGTTTTCCACTCGAATGGCTTTGACCCGTGGGCTTATGTTGATGACTTTATAGGGAGTGTTGCTGAAGAACATAGAGGTGATGTGTGTCTCTGTGGGATAAATGCAGCAGAACATCAGAACACCTGGTCATCTGGAAACATCCTGATTTGATTGTGGGCTAAGTTCATCTCCCCTACAAGAAAATGAGTAAATATGAATAAATATCCAACCACTCCATACATTTAAACAATGGTGTTTGAATGTGCAGAAATCATCAACACAGTGCTACTGTCATGTGGTTGTTTGTCAGGGTGTTTTTATGCGATTGCTAACATGTTTTTAAGCATGTTTTCTATGCTGTAGCTATGGTTTGGTGGTCGTTTACTGGCCCAAGCTGGTGTTGTTTAGCTGCTGAGGCTGGTGGGCCAACATGCTCTCAGAATTGCACTTTCATCAGTGACAGTTGGGTGAAAAGAGGAAGTTATGTAAAGTGCCTTACAATTCCATGGTCACATATGATATATCACATTATATATCACACACACACACACACATACATATACACATACACACATACATACATACATGCACATACACATACACATACATACATACATACATACATACACGTATCAGCGTATTAGAATGATTTCTGAAGGATCATGTCACACTGAAGACTGGAGTAATGATGCTGAAAATTCAGCTTTGCATCACAGGAATAATTAAATTTCAAATATATTCAAATAGAAAATAAGTATTTCAAATTGTAATAATATTTCACATTACTCTTTTTACTGTATTTTTTAATCAAATAAATGCAGCCTTGGTGAGTATAAGAGACTTCATTAAAAACATTTAAAAAGCATAATGTTTTCAAACTTTTAAAGCCCACTATTTTTATGGAGATCTTCGTTCTTGATCACGTGCTTCTGCAATGAACTTTAAATATCCTACCATAGATGGTTTTCCATGAACTCCAAGAGCTGGATGGTGAAGCCTCAGAGATGAGTCTTATTCTAACAGAGTGATCGACACAGTTCAGCGGGAGCTGTGAAGTCCAAACCAGTGTGTGAACTGCTTCCAGTGATCCTCTGCTTACGTTCATCTGTGGACAAGACTGTAAACTGTTAGTGCAAAATTCAGAAATCAGGCAATAATGTGATAGGAGCTGAGGAATGATGTGTTTTACGCACACTGTCGACAATATCCATGTTTGTTGTGCGTCCAACTTGTATTTCATAGGTTTGATTTCTCCGTTCTTCATTCTGATTCATCATCCACTCCATCTCCAGTCTCCACATGTCCAAAGCCTGAAGATTAATAATGTCTGGCACAGTGACAGTATCTGTGGTGAAATGATTTAGGTGTACACTAACAGAGATGCAATTCAGAAAAAATAATACTGTAAAGTGTGACCAATGAATTTGAGTTGAGGCAAAACTTATCCTGATTTATATCTGACCTGAAGAAGAATTCCAGCCTATAGCATTTTCAAACAGGATGAAAACTGTAAGCATCTTTGTCCAATGGAGATTCATTTTGGTGGATGTAAACTCTCTCAGCATCTGCTCTGAGCTTCTGTCAAAGTGTAGGAGGTGTTCTATGAACCGTTAAAGTGCTCCTCCTACTGCTGCCTTCCGTTTGAGGTTAAAGAAGTAATGCCTCCAGACTTAGATTTATTGCCTGTGAGTCATAAAGTGAAAGTTGATGTATGTGCTTCGGTGTTATTTTTAATTATGCTTACAGAAAGGTACTGATGATGATGAACCATATATGGCAAGGTCATGTTGTTTAATAATCATGAAGTTTAAAGGTGACATATCATGAAAATCTGAGCGTCTGATTTCGCTCCCTTGGTGACGTTGCAAAGGGATCTCATTATAATATTACCGCCCCTTAATCTGTAAGTTTAACCCACGGCGCCGTTATTGTGTTTTCGCAAGCGACAACGGTGTACGAGCTCTAATGCCACGGCGAAAGTTTGAGCAAAACACGCTAACTGTTCTGTCTTTGGCTGTACAGACGAGCACAGAACACTGCTTAGAGTCCCAGCCTCAGAGGAGACAAGAGAGCAGTGCATTTATTGATTTATTTACT